GCTCTCCCCGACCCACATACGTGCCGTGCAATTTAAGTACACAAAATGTGGGAGTTCACTATAATTATTTTAACTAAATATATAATGAACTATCACCTCGGAAAAAGGTAATGGCGTATATTGATTCATGTACATGTTTGTCCATGTGAATAAAAAGATAAACTATTTTTGTAATAACTTTAAAATTATAATCGGTAATAAATATATTAGCGCATCTATTTAACAAGACAACCTTGTATAATTCCATAATGGGCACGGACCATTCGGACCGCCTGCCCATTTCGGTCATTTGCTGACCTTCGAGTTGCGGTCTATGTATGAAAATCGCCTCTCTCGAATCTCGCCCCTTAACCGGCCTTATCGCTTTCTGAATCTGTCGCTCTCGCTTGCATTAGGGAACGGGCAATTCGGCCCACCTGCCCTTTTGATGAGTCCTGATACTGCAAATCGTGGCCGCTTGTATTAGGTCTTCAAGAAGACAACCAAATTCTTTCGGTATCGTTTTCGTGATCGTTAACGAATTTTTATGCTACCTTTAAAATATTGATTGTAATTTCGAATTAAATTGACTTTCTACAACTATAGAACGATAGGATAGCGCGGCAGTAGTAGTTTAGACACAACTATACCTCAACTTGCTCTACTTCATAAATTCGACTAAATCGAATTTTTATATAACCTATTTGTAATAAGCAAATACCGTGGTCATAAGTAGCAGTCCTATTGTACCCGGTACTGGAGGAGTGCGCGATTTGCGTAACGCACAGAAGAAAACATATTCGCCACTTTAAGAATATATATTCTTGATCAGCATCAACGGATCAGCCGAGTCGACATAGCAGTGTCTGTCTGTCCTTCCGTCTGTCTGTCTGTTCGTATCGTTGAAGTCTAGTTTTCAGGGACTATAAGGGCTAGAGTATTCATTGTTGTGTGAAGACTTCGGTCCTGGTCCACGGAAATGACATCTACTGTATATATCGTTCTAGGCTTCAATACTGAATCTATATCACTCCCGACTTGAGGTAACGTTATATCCGGTACTCGAAGAGTAACGAGAAGGGACGTGTGAGACGCTTCTTACGCGTCACAAGTTTTATACCCGGCACTCAGTACTACATCTGCACCTTAGCGGTGTTTTGTCAAATTTTAAAATTTGTCTTCAACTGTCATCTGCATTTACAACACTTCTCACACCAACACGCTCCTTTACCTCGCCGCCCTTTCCTAGACCCACACACTGCAGACTCGCGGCAGAGGCAGCGCCCGCACACAAAAATAAAAACAAATATAAGCTGCGGGACGGGGTGGGTTAAAAGTCGGAAGAGTCAGCGCCGGGGGGAGGGCAGAGGCAGAGGCCGAGTGAAGCAGAAGCAGAGTGTGAAAGAGAGAATGTAAAAAGAACAACAAAAGCTGCGTGACAGGGTGGGTTTAGCCACTGGAAAATTAATTTCTTCATTGTGGCTATAATAATTTGGTGATCTGATAGATATGGCCATTCCCTAGGGAATGGCGTTTTTATTTTTCTTTTATCTTCAAAACTGTAGATTTGGGAGGTTTTCGGCCTTTTGCGGGGGCGGAAAAACAATGGTTTCAGTGTGAGCATGTAGCAGTCAGGATGCAAAATTTGGTGGCTCTAGCTCTTATAGTCTCTGAGAACTAGCCGACAAAGAAGACGGACAGACGGACAGACAGACATGGCTCTACCGACTCGTCTATTGATGCTGATCAAGAATATATATACTTTATGGGGTCTGAAACGTTTCCTTCTGTGCGTTACATACAACCGTTATTCCCCACAAATACAATATACCCTACTTACTCTTCGAGTACCGGGTATAAATAGGTAATTTTGTATATGTGGTCTAAAAATGTAACACATAGAAGGAATAGCTTAGTCGTGATAGCTTTGTCTGTCAGTCCGTCCGTCAGCCCGCCTGACGAGCGCCTAATACTCCGAGAATTATATTCTCGCTAGAGCACCCAAGTTTTGCGAATGTTTGCTCGTTGTTCTGCCTCTTCGCCCTAAATCAATTCAAATCTTTAAATGCTATGTAGCTATGCTATGTTAGCTATGTAAAATCCGATGTATAAGCGGGTGGCGGTTTGACTCGCCAAAACTGTACACTCGGAGGCTTGTATGTGGACGCTGGACACCGGCCGATTTAAATTAGGTTTCCCGGGGCAAGCGGGCTGTGCCTCGGCCGACCAAACCCTTCCCGCCTACTTGTGGGACCAAAATATGCCAAACAATAAGATATGCAACAATAAAAACCGCAAAGGAGCTCAGAGTACCGTCTTCAGATAGGAACCGATGCGGGAACAGGTCCGATAAACCAACCGGCCAGTCCAAATCGTGGTTAAGAGACCATGTCCATATTCCCCTGCAAATCCGACTCCAGGGGCACGCAGTTGGAGATCCAGCCAGACCCCGAACTGCCCAGGCTCCAGCTGTGCCGGTCGCTCAGGTGTCGACTGAGTCGGAAGACATAATCGACAGCTACGAGTCCGACGCGAGCGACCTGGCCATGGCCGACATGGCATTGATGGAGTGGTTTATCCTGCAGATGACATTGTAAGGAAGCATGCGCTGCCCTACTGCTTCACCTAGCCAAGAGGTGAGACAACACAGTCCTCAGTCAGGAGCCCTTGAACCTCGGAAACAGGGTCTACGGTCTGAGGACTCAAGACTACAAGCTTTACGAAGCTGAAAACACAGGTAAAACAAGAACTTTTCTCCTCAATTTCAGTAACGAAGAGAATACGGTAGTTAGCCTCGAAGAGCAGGAGAGCTCGCTAAGGATATGCTCGACATATATGTGACATGACCAGCCAGACCCCTTCTCACGCGACCCTACGCGCCTTAATCGCAGAATGAGAGGCGAAGGCCATCGGCTAGCGATTCAAGCACTAGGCTCAATTTCGTCCCACTTAAAGACTGCGAATAACTGCCGTAGGTCTCTAAACGAGGACGCAGAGCAGTTGGACCAGGGTCAAAATGGGACAGACGCCACCGACGAAATTGCCAGGCCGAGGTACGACTATTACCTCTCCTACCGTAGAGGGAGCAAGTAGCGATGCCCTGCAGGCTTAAACTCACTACATTTTAGAGCGGAAAGCAGACAGACGATGGCAGTAATACAATATCCAGCCGGGTCGCTACATCGATTCGGTTCTCTCCTCAGCTACCGCCTAAACCTAACCTAACCTATGCAAAAACCCTTTTATAACATATATTTTTATACCCGGTACTTGGTTGTATTTGTGCACAAAGTGAATGTATGTAACACACAGAAGGAAACGTTTCCGACCCCATAAAGTATATATATTCTTGATCAGCATCAATAGACGAGTCGATTGAGCCATGTCTGTCTGTCCGTCCGTCTTGTTGAGCGCCTGGATCTCAGAGACCATAAAAGCTAGAGCCACCAAGTTTTGCATCCAAACTTCTGTATGCTCACACTGTTACAAGTGTATTTAAAAAATGAGCCACGCCCCCTTCCGCCACCGCAAAGGGCGAAAATCTCCCAAATCTACAATTTTGAAGATAAAAGAAAACTAAAAACGCCATTCCGTAGGGAAAGGCCATATCTATCAGATCACCAAATTGGGATCCGATTGGATCAATATTATAGCCAGAATGGAGCTTTTGATGTTATTTTTACATTCTCTCATTCACACTCTGCTTCTGCTTCACTCGGCCCCTGCCCCTGCTGACTTTTAACCCACCCCGTCCCGCAGCTTATATTTGTTTTTTTTTGTGTGCGGGCGCTGCCTCTGCCGCGAGTCTGCAGTGTGTGGGTCTAGGGAGGGCGGCGAGCTAAAGGAGCGTGTTGGTGTGAGTAGTGTTGTAGATGTATATGAGAGATGAAGAAAAAATGTTAAATTTGACAAAACACCGCTAAGGTGCAGAAGTAGTACTGAGTGCCGGGTATAAAAGTTGTGACGCGTAAGAAGCGTCTCACACATCCCTTCTCGTTTTTTTAAGTCTTTCCGACAAGCAATTTGTATGACCGGTACTCGAAGAGTAAATAGGGTATATTCTATTTGTTGTGAAAAGGGGATATACATATCTATGCATGTAGCGCCAGAGGGAAATGTTTTCGACCCCATAAAGAATTGATCAGCATCAATAGCCGGAGTCGATATAGCCATCCCGTCCAGCAGCTTTTCTTGTGCTTTTTTCTTGTTTTTATTCTTTCTAGCTCGCACCCTCTGCCTCATGAAGTGGGCGTCACATGGGTAGGGTGGCGAGCTAAAAGAGCGTGTTGGCGGGAGAATAGATGTAGATGTAAATTACAGATGTCGAAACAAATTTAAAATGTAAAATTAGTGGATACGACCTGTTAAGATGTGGGGATCTCTAAAGTACATACTTAGATGGGTGCACTAAATTTCAAGAAAAGTTCGTCTCTGCAATAATGGTATTACCTTGTATTCTATGAACTCAAAATTAGTTAAAAGTTTAGTTTAAAAGAAATGTCCCAAGCATTCATCGTCCCATATATTTTTTATTTTTAGATTCTTTACTATTTAATGTACAGTATATTTTACAATTAACTTTTTAAGACATTCTTAAATTAAACATTTATTAATTCGGTTAATTTTGATTTTAAAAACAGCAACCATGCGTAGACAATTAAACTTTTTTGAAGGGCAATACGGATTTTATTGCTGACATTCAAAAATATATTTATTTTGATTTATAATTGTATAATTTCTGTTAAAATTATTTAATTATTGTCACGGAACTCACAACTTAATTTATTGTCAGTATCAATAAAAGCATGTATGTATGTATAAAACATGCTTACGTATTTTTAATGAGTATAAGTGGTTATATACAAGCATTTTTTTACCATAACGCAAATAAATTGGGTTTCGTGACCCAAATAACGTATATTTTTATATTATTATTTAATTTAACATTTTGGTATTTAATTACTATTTTACAAGTCACGGTACAAAATATAAGTACATACATACATACATGTGTACGTTGCTTATGTGACTAAATATCCATTGAAATAATAGGCATCTTCCAATTGAAAGAATGTGTTTGTAAAGTCCGATATGTTACATAAGTGTCAATGTGTCATTTGTCATATGTATGTACATATAGAAATATAATAATTGGGTATGATTTTGTTCGCATAATTATGATTATTTTCCTGTCAAGCCTTTTAAATGTTACGTTATAATGCTGATTGTAGGTTTTGTAGTCAACGCATTTTCTTACATGAAATATATTTTTTATAATTTTCAAAAAAGTTTGTCTTTTTGTTTTTTATATATCGTGATATGTTTTCCACAACTAATTAGTAAAGTTTTTGTTTTGTATTATCCTCATGTAGGTACTTCGGTGTGAGTCACTAATGTTATATTTTAATTTGGCTCTTTACATGTTTATGATTGTAAGCAACTTGATGATATGATAAGCCCTGGACTCTGCCTTAATGCCATCATAACTATACTGTATGAGTGTTGATTGTTTTGTGTTGGAAGCATTTGGCTATTTCCAAACCTCATCCTCTTATTGTATACAAGATAGTAGGTATGTATGTATGTATGTATATTTATCCGTTCATATGCATGGACATCAATAATATACATATGTATGTATGTACATACATACATATAAATGTACGAACATAAGAAAAAACAAATAAAACTTAAATTCGCTTGATGTTGTGCATTATCTCACTATTTTACTCAAATTGACTATACTTTTCAATGCACACTTTGCATGATTAATATTTATGCATATCTGAAGATTTGTTTGTTGACGTAAAGAAATATGAGTATGATTAAACTAAACAAGGATTTGTTGGTAAGTCTACGATTTTAACTTAATGATGTTGTGTACTGATAACAAACTACAATTACACAATTTTAGAATAAATTTAAACATAATGATAGGTTTTTTTTCTAGTTAATGCTAACCATAAGGAACTTTAATTAAATACAATAAAAAAAAGATTCGTAAATAGTGTGCATATTCGATATACATACATATGTAAGTTAAGTTCGAAATTAAATTGCTAAGTTTTTTCACTAATAACTGACGTATTCGGAGAATTCGTTTTGAAATGGTTCACTTTTCTGTATTTGTTGGGTTAAGAATTGTAACTGAATGTCATTCACTAAGTCAGATAAATAGTTGACATAACTAGACTTAGAGTGAAGGCCGAGTAAATCCACTTGGTTAATATTGTTTCCATTGGAGTCTATTTGATCTTTTTGTAGTTCTGTAGGTGGTGAGCTTTTCAATGGCCATGTCATCAATCCTCGTATAAAACGTTGGAAGTGCTCATTGGGTGTTTGCTTAGAAATAGGTTAAGGTATAAGTACAACTTTTTTTAAAGCCTCAGAATATCGAAATTCCAAGTGCTAATCTAACCGGCTGGGCCGGCTGGAAGACTTCATTTTGGGAGGCGAGAGACAGACAAAACAGTAGGCTAAGTTTAATGTCAGACGACCAACATCCCCATAGTTTTAGTTATTTTATTTTATTTAAAGTAATTTAGAAATGTTTTTTTTTTACCATAAAGAAAAACATTTATTTAAACTAAGTTGAATTGACGATTTACCTCTTTTAGCAAGGACCGATTTCGTTCTCTGAAGTGGGACGGTCGAACAGGGTAGGTCCTTGGAATTCCAATAACAGAATGATCTCTATCTGGTAAATCACTTGAAAATAAGCTTGTAGCAGGGATTTGGATGCGGGATCCGCGGCCTGATTGAGCTGTAGCATAATTTCCAGGGAAAGTACTATCGGTTTCCTTATGGGCTTGTCTAGCATTACCATTGTACAGAGCGACATTAGTATTACCAATTCGACGTGTGGTTGCTCGGACGCGATGTCTATGTTCGTTTTTATTATTTTTGTTGTTTTCAAGGGGTTGCCCGCTTAAAATTGACATGCGATTATTGTTGCTATATTGGTAGCTGCCTCCGTCTGGACTTCGATTTTCATCCATTAGAATAGAATCAGAGGGACTAATGGGTTGGGGCTTGTAAGACGACTGAATGCTGTTAGAACAAAAAATTGCATTAAAAGAATTAACCCAATTGCAAAAGTTCGATTTAGTACTGCGATTTGGTTCTTACTTTTGACCGTTAGCAATTTCTTTAAGAGCGGCTGCTCGTGCCGCTAACTCCTCATCTCGCCGTTGCTGCGTTAGCTCCTTAGCACGTTCCGTCCATATTAGCTCTTTAAGTTTCTGAAAGCTGCCCTGTACAGCAACTGAGTTTTGGTTTCCATTCAAACTAGCTCCTGTAACGTTGGGAACTCCCATGTATCTATTTTTACTTGACCTACGTGTGCCTGCATTTTGCTGACGCCCTTCAGCCCCATAGAATCGAGGTTGGACTGGACTGCTACTGCCACTTGATCCGAAGTCTACAAATCGCTGACGCTGCTCAAAGGTCATACGTTGCGGTGTAATAGGTTCTCGGCTTACGACACGACCAAACACAGGGGACCGTGCACGTTCTCTTGCACCCATCCGAATTCTAATTTTTGATTGATAAAAACAAGAAAAATCAGCTTCGTATTGCATATTTAAGTTACCATGTCTACTAAGTTAAATTAACTGAAGAAAACATATCCGATAAGTGAAAAAATTAAATACATCTAGTGTAAATAAATGAAAACAGCTCACCAATTGAAAATATTTTTTTGTTGAAATATGAGTTTTTTATTAGTAAGATAAGTACTTACGATCCCAGAACTCGTGAATTTGAATAAAGGGGATCCCAAACATTATATGTAAAGGGATCACGATATGTTGGTATTTCGTTTGTAATTTCCGCAGCTCGAGATTGCCTTTTTGAAAATCTGTTGTATGTACGTGCAAGGTAAGCAATTTCGATTGTCAGAAGTTGAGTTTCTGTCAATTTAACTTACATCCACATGGCACGAAGCTGTTCGCATGTTGGCTCTTGTGAGCTCAGCGAAAATGTTTTTGGTACAAACACTTCCCCGACCTCCCTCACTCCGCCGGAACTCACTAAGTCTGACGTATCTTCACTTTTGATCCCGTTGTTATTATTCCCATTTCTCTGCGAAGGATATTCGCGACCACGTCCACCTATGTAGTTTCCATTTCCATGTTTTAGGCTTATCAGGATCACCAATATATCAATTTGTATATACTTCATCTGCAAGGTTAAATTTATAGGTTTTAGTCCACTTTGTAGTTTTATCGACCAATGGTCAACTGATAGAAAGGCAGGTGCATATTATTTCTACAGTTAAAGCTCTATACTATTTCTCAAGCATTTAATATTATTTTTTAGCTGCCTTAGCTATGAACTGTGTATTGATCTGCGCAACGGTAATGCTAACTCAAAGCTAAGGTCCGGAGTTTTCTTAGAATCCTGTCTGGGGCTAGAGGTGACGTGAAGATAGATGGACTTTCAAATGCTAGGGTTTGGTTTCCCCGAAGTTGCGTGTCGCTAGCGGTCACAGCAAAGTCATGGCATTTGGTGCGTAAAAAATTGATCAAAACTTTAACTCCAAAAGAAGATACCTATCCGTATGTGAGGAAAATAGTAGGTTCCTCATCTAAAATGATTAGCATTGCTTTAAAACATGTATCCAACAAGAAACTCGTGAAAGAATTGGCGCAATATCCAATTTGGTGATCTGATAGATATGGTCATTCCCTACGGAATGGCGTTTTTCGTTTTCTTTTATCTTCAAAATTGTAGGTTTGGGAGGTTTCCGCCCTTTTGCGGGGGCGGGGCTCATTTGTTAAATACACTTGTAACAGTGTGAGCATACAAAATTCTGGATGCAAAATTTGGTGGCTCTAGCTTTTATGGTTTCTGAGATCCAGGCGCTCAACAAGACGGACGGACTGACGGACGGACAGACAATCATGTCTCTATCGACTCGGCTATTGATGCTGATCAAGAATATATATACTTTATGGGGTCGGAAACGTTTCCTTCTGCGCGTTACATACAACCGTTATTCGCACAAATACTCTTCGAGTATCGGGTATACAAATTTCCGAAAATAAGCAAAGCTAGATTTAGCTTAAAAGAATATAAATTAAGTTTTCGAAGTCTGAGAAAAAATCCAGTTTAGCAAAGACACCATGGGGCAAAGTTAATACAAGGTAGAAAAAACACTGGACTTGGCCCAAATAAATATGGATATATTTACTTAGAGGGAGCCAAATTTTTTTTTTGTGATTTAGAAACGTTAGATCTTATGTAAAACGACTACCAAATAAAAAACACAACCCTTTGACACATACTTAGATCTAATAACCATGCTGAGAGAAGAATCATGGTATGTGCATTCCTTTCGTATTATGGAGGTGGTAAAGTACCCGTGCTGGAATCGATGATGATTCAACATGGCCTTGTTATTATATAATAAAACAATGCCTTATATGCAATAGAAAATGCCGCTGAGTTGTGTCTTCTCATCAGGGAAATTACCCAAAACAGAGAGAGCAATAGAGAGCTGTAAGGGGTTTTAAAACAGTGACTTTTATGCAATGTTTTCTCTCGCTCAGTCCGCAGATATAAACTATGGAGAAAATCTTTTAGGAACAGTTAAAGAATATGTTTCTTATACGAAATCAAAGAAAAAGCTTAATATTTGGGGGTCCTGCCAGATTTGTGGAGATGAGTCCCTCAGGAAAGACGCCAAAATAGGGTTACATTTTATGACAGAACTCTCAGCCTTTTTTTGCTGCCAAAAACTTTCAAACAAATTATTAACCTTTGAATACAATTAAAGTAAACTATAGTACTGAACAATTGTGGAAATTTTTGTAAAATTTGACGTTTTTTAGCTTTTATGAAACTGGTGCTATTTTCCTTCCAAATATTTCCAACTAAAGCCATCAAAGCATACCATCCTTCTCGGATAAGTTGAATTAAGCCTCAAAGTTGATATAATAGTTTTAAAACCCTTCATTAGAACCATTGCTTTAACAAAATATCTCAAAGAAAAAAGTTATTTTGCTGTATATGTTATTTTACCTTAAATATTGAAGAAAATATATAATTTAATACGCACCAAGAGCCGGTTACAATGCATCTTAGTAATGTCTCTTTTAAAATCCGAAAGATATTATAATATCAGACTTCAACTGAGTTCGATTTTGCATCGGATTGATATGTATTTAAATATTTAGTTGTATCTATTGAATTGGAGAAAAATAGTAATTCATATCAGAATATGAACGCAATTTGAAATTTTCTGTTATTATAGCATGCAAATAGCTCTAAAATTGTTAAATTTTGAAATGCCGTATAAAGTAAGTTACACCAGTACTGAGTTGACGTGTTAAATTTAAGATATGTGTGCATTGTGCCATTTTACACACGTTAATATTAAAAAATATAATAACATAATAATAAAATATATTAATTACAGTAGAATTTCTCAGGTGATATACAAATTTAAGAATTCATTGAATAATATTTATATTTCCTCGTCTAATATCTGAAACTCGAATTTGTGGGCGTTCTAATTTGTCAGATTCTACTGTACTTAATATCTATGAAGAGGTAAGAACATAAACATGTCTGTCACGGTGTTTGTGGTTGAACTTGTCCCAAATGGCTTGACTGCCATTTCACGAAGAACCTTCCATTTGGTTTCTACTCGAGTCGCACAAATCGCTTTGAAGGCATCCCAAGAATCTATCAATCAAATGCGTGCGGACCCAGCGGAAAGACGAACAACCAGGTTTTTACATGCACATTTCTGCTGAAATGCATTTGATTCTTCGATGAAAACAAAAGGGTTAGCTTTACTGAAGCACGTATACAAAGAATGTGCCACGATTATAACCGTCTTGCATGCCAAAATTATCACGGATCCGTTGCGTCAGCGAGAAAGTCAAAAAGCATCAACCTGATTATAAGGATAGCCGTGATGGGTCAGTAAGTAATTTGAAAAAGAAAAACGAGAAGGGACGATACGCTTCTTACACGTCTCAACTTGTATACCTGGCACTCAACTACATCTGTACCATAGCGGTTTTTTAAAATTGTATATATTTTCTTCATCTGTAATCTACATCTACATCACTTCCCACGCAATTCCCTACGGAATGGCGTTTTTAGTTTTTTTTATCTTCAAAATTGTAGGTTTGGGAGGTTTTCGCCCTTTGCGGGGACGGACAGACAGACATGGCTCGATCGACTCGGCTTTTGATGCTGATCAAGAATATATGGGGTCGGAAACGTTTCCTTCTGTGCGTTACATACATCCACTTTGTACACAAATACAATATACCTTATTTACTTTTAGAATACCGGGTATAAAAATGTATGCCAAAAAATAATCCATTTCAATTTCAGTCCATAGATTATATGTAGATGAGTAGAAGCTCATAGAACAAAGATACCCTTGATAACGAATCGAAAATAAATGCATGGAAGTGTGATAAATCTAATAGTCCAGTGAAATGCACAAAATTGCTAGGAGTCCGCAGTGCCGTAGAAAGTGCCACTAATTCATTTGTGATACCACGTAAGACCACCTTCAGAATCTATAGAGTTCCAGACAAGTGACGTTTTAAAAACATCAGAGAGCATCTAAACACTTAAAAACTCCAGCTTTTAACCTAGGCACTCCACAAATTACACTACTCGACAAAAACGAACTTTTTTTCCTAAAGGAACCAAACCGACTATTTCTAATAGTTCAGGCATTAAATTTGTTTAGTAAATTATGTTTTTATTCTACCTTAGAACTTTTTTTTAACGAATTTTTAAAGTCTGTTTTTTTGTTTTTGTTTTTTCAGAGGTAGCTATTTGTTTATCTGAAAGCAGATTGATGCAGCTAAAAAGAATATTTATCTTAATGGGTTTTAGGAGCTCTTCCATCTAAGACACCTAGACATCCACTACAAAACTATTAAATGTATGCTTATAATTATAACTATTAAACTAAAAAAATTTACATATTTATTAAATTTTGTTTTGTTTGCCTGTTTTGATTCCAAAATTTTAAACAGAATTTATGTGATGATGTTCAAACATGATCAAACACAGCTGTAAAGAATACAAAAAATACATACATATGTAAGTACGTAAAAAGAAAAAAACGATAGAAAAGCTCTCCTCCTCACCAATCAGTCGAAAATGTTCACTTGGTCTCAAAATTTCCTGTCTATCTTTTATATGTATTTATATTGCCTTAAAGGAATTAACCTAAATTCATATGTACATAAATATAAATGTAACGAGCAAAATTTGTATGTGCGTTTAACAGTGCAAGTGCTGTGTGGCTCGAAGATATTAGTAACAGTGCATTGAAAATGTGCAAATGTCCGCTTTAAAAGTTTAATTACTTTTTCCGGTATTTATGGGATTTTCCAATCTTACAATTACTCATAAATAGTAAGTTGCACTTCTCCAACCACTGTCCCATTGCATCTATTATGTGGCGTATATACTCTGGATGGTTATGTTTATGACAACGCCAAGTTTCATAGTCGTACTTCTCCATCCCCAAACTAAAAAAGTATATAATTTTTATCATCCTGTTGTAAGAAACCCGAAAAATCATCGAAAAATATGTCATTAAGGATTAAATTTAGTTAAAGAATATGACTAATAGTGAAAAGAATAGCTATATTACTTTTCCGGTTTGGATATCAGTCTCCGTCTTGCTAAAAAGATACATACATTCATACGTGTTATGTTTCTTGTTTGTATGATATGTTTATTTACTAATGTTCGCCTGATTCTGACCAGTTTTGGGTTTGAATTGTGAATGTATGTATACATATGTAAGTCAGTTGAAATGGACAAGGAAGGGGCCATTATATCATACTGTGTAATATGAAATATTAACAAACGCTTAGGATTAAAACTTGTAAAGCATATTGCATTTTTTTCAAATTGTCTTGACAATTTAAATCTGCTGTTTATTTCTTTGTATATTTGTGAAGTAAGATTTAATTAAAATCGGACCAAAATGTCATATAGCCCGCTTAAAAATACATTTTTATTTGCGTCGGCAGGGCACTGTGACTGCGCGTTCAAGTCGTAAATCACGCTATTTTACAAGATGTTTACATTCCATTTACAAGATTTTATAACTAAAGTATAATTTATAACTGTAGAGCAGAGCTCGGCACAGCCCTTTCTATTGTGCATAGGAAAAGGCTCTGGCGAGACACTGTCGCTCATGTATTGCAATGTTCCGTTTTGCGTGCTGTCTGCGCACACAAACACAAAAACGGCGCGTGAACGTGTGGCGAGCCCTGCTGTAAAGTTTAGCAAGTATTTGCAGCAGCAGCCAAGTATCAGTCCTTATTTACGTTGAACGCAATTTTAGGCACTTATGGACACATGTGTGTACATACTATGATTTTACAGAAGTTACTATAAAAACTGGGATTATCAGTTCTTTCAACGAGTTTGAAATTATTCACCCCTACTCAAAAAGTAGTTTAAAACTCTGTTAACGTTTTATTGTATACAGATAATACTTCAGAGATATCGTGGCGTTGCTCTGTTTAGCTAGAGGAAACGAGAGAAGAAAAAATCATACAAGCGTTGTTGTCGGCAAAGGCTGACAAACGTATTTTAAATTAGGTTGTTAATAATAAATATAAACTGTTACTTTATGGAATCCATTCTATGGCGTTGTACTCTCCCGAGATCTAGCAAATCGAATCCTATCGAAGTAATACATATGTGTATCTGAATGTGTGTTTCTGTATCTGGCTAATTTTATGAATGAAATTTATAGAATATCTTGATATTTAAAGGTATGTACACACATGAACGTAATAAAATCATGCGCAAAAGGTATTTTGCGAAAACAACCTGCTAGCTACAGGATACATACATACATATGTATGAATGGAAATCTGTATATGAAGACACTGGAATTAAATGTGTATACAGATAATTAAAATAATATGCAACATGTATGTACATATGTAAGCATATTTCACTTTATTTAAATATTCTTCACAATTATTAACTTGTTTTGCAATTTAAATATTCTGTAATGTACCTTGCAACGACTTTTCCGACCGTACGCTTGAACAAAACATCCAATTTGAATTGTAAACAGTGTGACCGCGGATTTAGCGATCAAATATACCGCACGACCCTCAAAAAGATACTAAAATATGCCTTCTCATTTTAAAAATATACCGCAAATATACCGTACATCTTATTTCCTTTTTAGCAACTTTGATGTTCTATTTAATATTATTAGCTAGTTAGGGTTTTCAGCGCTAAAGCTATAGTTTATAAATCATCATTAAATTTTCCACAATATAGCTTGATTTTCATGACTTATCTATATTGGGTTGATTGCAAAATAGGGTTAAAACTAAAAAGGTCAACCAAAAAAAATGGTATTAAAAGTTACGTGGGTGGGAATGGGATGTTACGTTATTTGACAATTTGTTGCTGGCCAACCTATAGAATGGTATTACCCTATTTTCTATAATTACAATTAATATTTAATTTTACCAGCTGCTTTTAAACATTAACAATGGCTTTGTCTTAGACTGACGTGCTTTTCACCTTTTCATATGTTTTCTATGTATATATGTACTGTAACCGAATTAGATACATTCTTGGTATCCATAAGTTGCAAATTTTCGTTGAGATGGCTCATCAACATGGATTGATTTGTTTTTGCAATCAGCGGTTTACTGTTACAAGTATATGTGTATTGAGGATTAATATAAGTCCAACAACGCGGGTAACATAATGTAACTGATCCATCTTCAATTCATCCTGATGATGTTGCAGCGTTGTATATCATGATTTCGTGCGTTTGCGCCTTTAAGATCATTCACATCATTTTGAATTTGTTGGAGTTTATCAGATATTATGTGTAGACTGGAAAAGTGAAGAGATGTAGATAACAGATATACATAGAAAAAATGTAATATGTAAAATGTTAAAATCGAGAAATAAACACTATGCTGACTGTTGTGACGAAGCGTTTTAATAATAATAATATTAATAATAATAATATTAATGAAGTGATCATTCTTCTTTTGGTGTCCGTACGACAAGCAATTATTTGTAGAGTTCAAAATTAGAAGTGAAATATATGGTTTTTCTTTTATATTTCCCCAACATACACTGAAGTACCTGGTCGTGCGACCATCCAATTTCGCTGTTGCGATTGAAAACGAAAAAAAAATAATGA